AGAACTGCCTAATTTAATAACAATGATTTATCTCTCAAGTTATTTGACCCCTCCTAAGTTACAGATGATAAAATAAAAAATATTTTCTTCCTAACATTGATTAAATTAAATTAGAGATTATTTATTAATAAATTAATTAGAGTTCAAATTGAAATTGTACATTTTAATGTTTACTGAAACAAAAATTATGATTTGCATGTGTTATATATGTTGTGATTTTTTGAGTTATGTGCTTCTGTGTATTTTGTTTTTATATTTTAATTAATGCAATGTAATTGTGTAACATAAATCAATTTTACCTTGCAGTAACCACAGGTCCAATATGTGATGATAATGAAGTTCCTGCTTGTGTCAGCAAGTATGATGAATGCATAGAATCTTGTGCTGTGTATAGGAAAAACTCCACTTGTGATTCCCTTTTGGATGATGTTACTTGTGTTGATAAATGCCAATGCAAAGATGGTTATAGGAGGTTAGTTATCTAAATAAAATATAGTATCTTTTAGTTTTTTTTTCAAAATTATGAGAAAGAGTTAATGTGTACAATATATGTAATGTAATGTAAAAATGTCAAACAGCAAAAAAATAAAAACAAATTTATCTTGCTCAACTCACAGGAATGCATTTGGTGATTGTGTGAAACTTACAGAATGTGAGTGTTATAAAGACAGTGGAAGCTCTACCCCAATACCACAAACTTACATTGTAAACATTAGTAAATGTGGCTACTGGTAAGAGTTTGATACAAAGAAATGAATTACTTCAATAGTATCTTTTCTTCATAAATTAAATGTATAACGTATTAACATTTTCTTACATGATCATATGCAAATGTAAATAATTATAAAAGAAGTATTTTCAAACTGAAACAAAATGATCAACTGCTTTTAAAAAAATCTTTTAATACCCTTAGATCTTAATCTCATGCAACACTACAGAATGTGTTTTAAAATGTTAACTTGAATCTGAAAGTTAATTGCTAATTTTATTTTTTTTTTCAATTTTTTACTACTAATTATAATAAGTATTTTTTTTTAGTATTGAGTAGTATCAATATTTATTTAATATGATCTTATCTTAACTGGCAACATTAATTTAATCTTAAACTTCAGCTTATGTAACGAAGCTGGATACAGTTGTGGGGAGCATGAAGGCTGTAAGTAACTTGATTGTTTGTGCTAATTACCTAATTGTAGACACACAAATCCTATTCTTGTATGTATGTGTATATATATATATATATATTTACATATATATTTTTTAATCTCAAAAACAGCGTTAACGATTTTCTTTAAAATTTCAACATATATATATATATATAAATGAGAACAAATTTCTCAACTCATTGGCCACAATGGAAAAACTCAAAGTCGACCATTATGTCACTTTGAAAATGATTCATTATTGAAAAATTAATTTTGGCTACAATGTTTTATGAATGAAAATTTTCCATGATGTCAAAGGGAAAAAAATTTGACACCTCTTACATCACTAGGCTTACAGCAGTACACTAAAACATTTCTTTGCAATGAATCAATGGGCCTAATTAAACATTTGCGCACCATCGTATGTAGATTGATTTATTATGGAACTATGGAAGAGAAATAATGAAATTAAATATGTCGATGTATGATTAGTTACTGCGCTTTAGGTGCTTTATAAACTGTTTACACTTTAATCCCTAGAGACGTGTATGTAGCTTTTACTCAGTTGTTTTTTTTGCTTGTGAATTATTACAATATGCTAAAGCTTCGAAATCTACTGTCTTGTACCACAACAAAGGAAATGGTCATAATGGTCTCTTCACCTTTCTTGCTCACATAGGACATGATATCTTGTTTGCTTGCTGCCGCCTCTTTAACTATAAACCTTGGTAAAACCCCGGCATGAGCTTCTAAGAGTCTGACAGTCCCGCTGGGAAGGACACGTATCCCGTCTGGGGGCCGAACATATGTGAAAGGCTTAGTGAGCTTAAAGTTGATCGTCGTAACAGAGATGCCCCACAGAAATGCTTCTTTAGAAAACTAATGCATTGTTTTTAAGTCTCTTAAGAAAAAAAAGTGTCATTTTACTTTATTACAAAGTTCATGTTTTACCCTATTACGTAAAGATTTTGCATCACTCAATGTTTCGTACTAAAGACTTAGTGAATATACTAATTGCAATATTAATGTTTTAACATAACCATTGAGACGTTACACAGCACTTTCTTCCAAGCCAATAATAGCCCAATACTTTAGGCAATGTAAATGACTCGTCGTATCTTACCTTATGAAATACAGAGGTTACTTCAAAATAGATTATTATTACGTCCTATGCGTGTTCTGTATGGTGACTTAAGATCGAGACTTTCTTTTCTAATCACCATGCACATTGACATTTAGAACTAAAACAACATGAAAGCAACTTTTTGAATTGGGAATCTTTACCCAATCCAAATTAAGTAAATATATCTCCTCAACAAATTATTCAAAGAAGTGAGGCTTGTTCACCTGATACAATATATATATATATATATCTAAAGAGAGAGAGGCAGAGATTGATTGGACTGGAAGAATTATATGTATGTGTATATAAAAGCTATCTTATAAATCTGCAATTAGATATTTTACCTTAGATTAAATCACCATGAGAGCCTAAGTATTTTTTTTATTGTAAGAATTCATAAGAGTACACCATAACAATCTTTATTAAAGCCTTTTTTATATATATATGAGGTATCTCTATGACTATATTTTCTTTAAAAATTTCTCTCCTTGATATAAATTAAAGACTTATATTTCAATCATGCTTTGTAATCTAAATTTTAATGTTTCTTGAAATCTAACTTATTTAATTTTTGTTCTATTTACAACTTGTTTAGGATATGTAACAGAAAATTAAAAATTCTGTTTAGTGCCTGTAATACATTGATGTTGTTTATGCAGGTTGTGAGATACAAGAATGGACTGAATGGTCACCATGTGATGTAACTTGTGGGACAGGATCACGTTCAAGACAAAGGTAACTGAAAGGCTTCAGCAATAATAGTTGATATTTTTTCTGTGTTTTAAATACTTAAGAACCAGAAAATTTTAAGTTTGACTAGAATCATAATCTTGGTTTTCTTTCTAGAAAAATATTAGGCGATAGTTGTTCAGAAAGTGTAAGAAGTTCAGAAAGTGAAGTATGTCAACCTGGTGAATGTCCTTGTTTCTACAACGGACAATTCTGGGAAGCAGGAAAAGTTGTTACTGACAAATGCCAGGAATGGTAATTTAATATTCTTGAATATTATTTAATTGTAATAGACTTAGTAAATATGTCTATTTGATTAAGAATGAGCTTTATGTTTCTCATTAAACTGTTATTGGAAAATAAATGTATAGAAGTTTGTAAATTCTTTTATTTGTAGTTTAATTTTAGTTAATTTGAATACTACTTGTCAAAAGTTAAAAATAAAGAAGAAAATTCTGCACTCTTTTAAATGACTATTAAATCTATTTAAAACTCAATGTGTATTTTGTTCTTTTAATATTTTCCTTAGTAGGTTTAATATTTACATGTAACACCTTCACTTAACTTTTCATTTATTAAACACAAAAAAGGAATAGAAATATTTGTATGAGATTGGAAGGGGTAGCGATCTATTTGAAATAGTAGCAATAATAAGCATGTAAAGCTCCTCCTTTTAGGTTATAAATAACTGTAAGAATAGTTAAAGTGTTTGTATAAATTTAATTGCAGCACTTGTCGCAACGGTGAAGTAAACTGTTTGGAAATCCTCAACTTAGGTAATTTGTTCTTACTCTTTTTATTACAATAAGCTATAGAAATGATTAATTTATATGACAGTAAAAAGATTATGTGGATTTAGATTAGATATACATATATATATGATTTTCATTTGTATGATAGAAATAATTAGTTCTTTCTTCTTCTTAAAAGTAAAATACTGAATATTTCTAAACATTTTCTTTATTTTATATGCAACAGGCAATGAAGTATGGCCCAATGATGAATGTACAGAGAAATGTTATTGCAACACCAACGGAACTATGGAATGCTCCTACAGTCAGGAATATGCTGAATGTAGAGATGTCATTGATAACTGTGACCTTGTAAGTACAGTTTTAGCTAGATTGAAATAAGATCAGAAACTAAACTAAAGTAAATACAAATGCAATACTCGTCATTGATTGAAGACAGTAGTAATATCTTTTGTTCCTAGACCACCAATGTCCTTGAAGATACTGATGATGCATGCTGCAAGCGTTGTGTACCAAAGATGATCCCATGTACTTACAAAGCTGAGAGTAGTGTTATGCTTAACATCACAACTGAAGACAATGGTCTCTGTGTCTCTGTTGAACCTCAAGAAGTTGGCGTAAGTGAATTTTATTTATAAACAATCAGGAATTCATGTAAAAAAAATACACAACTTTTATAAAATTAGAAATTAACAATTTTATTTATTAACAATCAGGAATTCATGTAAAAAAAAATACACAACTTTTATAAAATTAGAAATTAACATATTTTTTTTTAATGCATTTTTAACTAACTTAAACTTTGCTGTTTATATTTTTCTTATTTATTTAATGCTCATTCTAATCACGAAATATATAATTTGGATAGAAATTTATTTTTCTTTCACAAAAAAAAAAATCGTAATCAGAAATGTAAAGAGATTGCTTGGCCATGTTTTCTCTGAGACAAAAAAGCTGTTTTCTCTGTTGTATAATTACTTTGTTTTTGACTTTTTTTATGATGCTATTTAATGATGCCACTTTTTTTCTTTTGTTCACTTATTTCTTTTGTAATAATTGATTTCCGTTGTATATCTTCATCATGTTGCAGTCCTGCTCTGGCACATGTGGCGTTAGCTCAGACAGTATTGTGAGGACAATGTTCCAGAACGGCAGATTGGAACTCATCACTGCACAGAACTGTGCTTGCTGTAAGGCTTCTATAGAATTCAAATCTGTCAGTTTCAATTGTGAAAATAATGGCAAAGCCCAATATGATATCGGCCACATATCTGGATGCAACTGTGAACGCTGTGGATGTAAGTCTCTTTGTTGTTATTGTTATCAAGACAAGCACTTTAACTTTAAAAAAAATACTCTTTAATTTCATCTTAATCTCAAACATTAAATTTTGAAACCAAAATTTTCACCAGTGGATAAAAAACATTGAAATTCAAATGATAAAGTAAAAACTTAAAGTCAATGAAATATTTATGACTCTTGTTCTTTCTCTTTCAGAATTGACATGCACAGCTCCGCCATTGATACAAATGTTATGTTGAATTATGCTTAAAGGAATGTAACATTTTTCAAGTCAATAAAAAATATGAATAGAAATACATTGTTACAGTATGTTGTTTGTTTCTTTGTTTATAGCATTTTTATTCAGAATGCATAGCAAATGAAAAAAATAACAATTGTATTTAATTTTAAGCTAAATGCATTTTAAAAAACAATTTTAATACATTTTGACAGTGACATCATAAAACCCCAAAAAAACAAAAAAACTATATGCATTGTAAAATACTCTTCAAACATTATGCTAGTGTAAAAAAAAAATGGAAAACATAACATAGGGCCTATCAGTGAGCTAATGCAAGGAATCTAATGTTCTCTGTCAGTTATTCAGCAAATACTTTTTTTTTCAATGTTAGTTTCATGTCAGGATATGCAAATCAAAAAAATCATAGTTTTACCAAATAACATTAAAATACTTATATAAATTCTAAAACAAAATAACACAAATTTATATTCACTAAATTTATAAGTAATCAATAGTTCTCATTACAATGTTTAAAAAAATGGAATAAAAGGAAATAGTAAAAATATTTAAAAAAACAACAAAATTCAATTGTATTCTTCTGTATGGTTTGTGCAATTCTAGTCACTTAGACTTAGATCATCCTTCTCTGTTCGGCACATTGAACGGCAAACTGTCTCCATAAAGACCTGTCACTGGCAATGTCTGAAGCCTATTCTCACCTGGTATCCACTGCTCTTAGGTCTTCCATGAAAGTGTGGCACCAAGTTATAGGCCTACCAAGGAAGTCCCCGTTTGCGCTTTCCTCGTTTTGGCTCTATGTGATCATAATTCTTGATATGAGTAGAGCGTTGTTTATTTTGTGGGAGAACATGTCCCGCAAACCTCATTCGACACTCTGTCACAACCTCACTAAATAGTCGACTCTTATTTTGACATAACATTTACATGTTGGAAACCCGAGCTCTATAACTTACTCCTAAAATTCTAGTTATGTACACATAAGTATAAGTAATTCAACTTCTTGTGTGATTAAAGAGGCCAATCCTTCTTAGAAAGCAATAAAATAGTTACTTTTATTCAAAACTTAAATATACAGACTAGTTCCATATATTCTGTGCAGAGGTTAAATGTATTGATTTGGTAAAACACAATACATAGCTAGGGTTACTATACCCCTACCTGAGATGAACTCCATTTGGTAGCAAGGCTGGAAGGATTAGTTCTCCCGTAGAGCCTTGGCAAGAAACTCGGCTGTTAGGCATAGTGTCTTTAAGCTCCCATAGATGTCAAGTGCTTATTTTGCCCGGTTCTGGCCAAATTCTGATGCCCGATGCCGACACTGTGTAGAGTCAGTGGAAACTGTGACGCATATCTTGCAAGAGTGTCCGCAGCTCCGAGAGCTGTGGGATAGTTTGTCTGCGGTGTCACTTGACGAATAACACCTCTCGTCGATGGCCAGTTTTGGCTAACTGGCCATAGTATGGGCATTACGGGTTAAAAACCAAAATAAGCTTACTAAACAAATTCAATAACTACAATTTCATTTTTATTCCTTTATCTTTTTGAATCGCAAGTCTCTTGTCCTTATAATTTCTTAGACACCTAGCATACATGCTGTTCCGTGTGCATATAGTAACAGTGAGATTAAAATCTCAAGTAGGTATGAAATATTCAGGAATAATTCTAAGTGACATTTTCCAAAGCCAAACTTACCTCAGTCTAGTCATAGCTTGTTATTATTGGGGGGGGGGGGGGGGGGGGGGGGGGGGATATAATCACCGCAGAATCAATATAACTAAGCTATTTATACATTTACACAACCTAAGTTTAGATCAAATCATTAAAAAGCCAACTAGATTAAACAACACATTAGATCTCTTCTTAACCAACAGACCTGAATTAGTAGTTGATCATGATATTATCCTTGGTCTAAAAGACCATGAGATCATAAAATACACAGTCAGATAAAAACAGTAGCCAATACAAAACCCAAAAGAAAAATCTTACTCTGGAATAAATGTAACCTAACACAACTACACCAAGCTGCATTAAACTTTCAACAAACATTCTTATTAGAAAAAGACATTAACCAACCAGTCGATGACCTCTGGAATTTCATCAAAAACCATCTTAAAAGCATTATAGAAAATCATATACCAACTAAATACACGTCAAACAAAATAAATAAATGCTGGTTTAATAATAGACTAAAGAAGCTTTGTAAACAGAAGGAAAACCTATATAGAAAATTTAAAGAAACTAAGGCAGAAAGAGTTTACAAAAAGTATATAAAAATTAAACACTTAACCCAAAAAGTAAGCAGACAGCTGCAGAGTGAATACATAAGCAATGTAATGTCTAAAGATAACAACAAAAACCTATGGTCATACATTTAAGTCTAAGAAAATGGAAACAACAGGCATAGCGCCAATAAAAGATGAACATAACATAATACAAAATGATAATGAAACTAAAGCAAACATCCTAAACAAATACTTTGCATCAGCATTCTCAGCCCCAGGAGACAAAGACATATTACTGAATTTGAACCAAGCAGACAACATAGAAGATATAGTAGTACAAGAAAATGGAATTCAAAAACTATTACCCAACACCAAACCAAATAAAGCGTCTGGACCTGATGGTATTCCAGCTAGATTACTCAAAGAACTAAGCAATGAGCTAGCCCCAGTGTTCAAAATACTCTTTCAGGCTTTCCTTAACCAGGGCAGAGTACCAAAGGACTGGAAAGAAGCTAATGTCACCCCCCTATTTAAAAAATGAGAAAAATCTGACCCAGGAAACTACAGACCAGTATCACTTACTAGCATCACATGTAAAATCCTAGAACACATAATATGTAGCAACATCATAAACCACTAAGACAAACATAATGTCCTCACACCATACCAACATGGCTTTCAGAAATATAGATCATTTGAAACACAACTAATAGGACTAATTGATGATTTTTCAAAAGGTTTAGATAATAGTGAACAAATAGATGCTTAAAAAATTTGCTTAAAAAATTAAAATATTTCGGCATTAATGGTCCATTGCATCAGTGGATTAAAGATTTTCTGATAGGGAGAGAACAAACTGTAATAATGAATGTCTCTAAATCAACACAGATAACAGTAAACTCGATGTACCTCAAGGAACAGTCTTGGGTCCTCTACTATTTTTAATTTACATAAATGATTTACCAAATTGCATTACTTCAGGAACAAAAGTCAGATTATTTGCAGACGATTGCATAATATATAGAACAATAAAAACAACACATGACACAAATATTTTACAAAGAGAATTAGATGAATTACAGAAATGGGAATCAAATTGGAGCATGTCTTTCCACCCGGAAAAATGTCAGTTGTTAAGAGTAACAAAAAAACTAAAACAAATTAATTCCACTTATCTTATTCATGGCAAACCAGTAACACCGACTAAAAACGCAAAATACCTAGGTGTTATAATAAATGAAAAACTGTCATGGAATCCACATATTGATGAAACTATAAAAAAATCAAACAAAGCATTAGGATTTATTAAAACATAAAACTAAAATGTTATTTAACCTTAGTTAGGCCAATAATAGAATATGCATCCTCCGTTTGGGACCCCTCAACTCAAGAAAACATTAAGAAACTGGAACAGACACAAAATAGAGCAGTGAGATTCATAACAAACGAATATTCACATTTGACTAGAGTAACACCTTTAGTAAAATCACTAAATTTAGAAAGCCTTCAGGACAGAAGACTCAAAAGTAAAGTAGCAATTATACATAAAACACTGAACCATAATCTTAAAATACAAAAACAAAATTTAATAAAATACTCTGAAAGACACAAAGATAAAGGCACATTGCTAGTCCCATATGCTAGGACAAATTTGTACTAATACTCCTTCTTCCCTAGTGCTATTAGACCATGGAATGGGTTGCCTGAGCTAGCCAGGAAAACCTGTGACTTGGCAAAATTTAAGTCATTGGTTAATATGCATGACTAAATGCATGACGCGTAGGACGTAATCATCTTCTTTTTTGAAGTAACTGTATTATATAAGATAAGAAGAAGATAAATGCATAAAGAAATGCAATTCAAGTTACGCTCGCAAATCTTACATTTTCAAAAAATAAAACTCTTCTGAATGTATCGGGTTTATGGTAACACACGAACACACTTTTTCCCTCCGGTTCTAGTTAATTAAACTTTAAAATGTTTATTTCAAGATATTTTTTTGACGAACGTAGTAGGTAACATATGGTCGCATGTAGAGATGTAACAGCTAAATCTAGGCTTATTCGTAATCCTCGGAAAAGAAAATTCAATCCAACAAAGTTCTAAGCATCAGCTGAAATGTATAGTCTAGTTGATCTTTAGAAACAAAAGAGGTTCAGATTAATTATCGTGTGAATGTTCTAAAACAAATTCCGACGAAATGTGAAAAGAAAGAGTTGATTTGTTGGTCAGTGATGAAACAGATATTAGGACCGGCTTTATTTCATTGGAGGCCCAATGAAATGAAATAGAAAAAAAAAACTAAAAAAAATAAACATGGTTACAGAGACAATTTATGTGGAAACAAACTCAAAATCAGCCCCCGAAGTGGTCCACCCAGACAGGTAAAAAGGCCGATTTCAGAAACAATATCAGAAAATAGGTAGGCCTACTACACACTATCAACAACTACAACCCTATTTCCGTCGAAAGTGTTGTATTGTTAGTTCGATAGTTAGATATTGTTAGTACAACAGGATACGGAGATTATTAATATTATTATTACATTGTTCAAATTCATTTGTATTCACTTAACTGATAGTTAAGAAGATATAATTAAATCCTAACTGTCACTTACAAAGACAGCATCACGAATGAAGAGATTAGAAACAAGATTTATACAACAATGGGACCCCACGATGACCTGCTAACCACCGTCGAAAAACGTAAATTCAAACTACATGGCCACATCACAAAATCCTCTGGACTAGCAAAG